GGCTGGATGGGGGGGGGGGGGAGCAGTTTACCGCCGCCTTCCCAGCGGGGTCCGAGGCGTTCCTCTCGACGCTGCGACCGCCTGGGGGCCTCCCAGGACTGCCAGCGCCGGATCCATTGTAATTCGAGGCCCGCAGCTCTCGAATATATTTTAGGGCTGGAAAGTAAATACTTTCTACCATTGCCCTTTAGGTCTCCGCTTCTTCTTCTGACCTTCCAGTGTCTTCTGGGATCTTCGTGCTCTTCAGAGCACAGCCAGCACATCCTGCTCAGAAGGCAGGGCCGGTAAGACTGGGGATCAGAGAATAAGCCCCTCCCCTCTGGGATCAAAGTTTGCCGGCCCTGCCTATGGAAGGGGGAGGTGCTTTCCCAGGAGTAAGGAGTCAAGGACTGCCCCACTCCTGGACCACCGGAGAACTGTTGAAAGTGAAACTAGTGGGTAGTCCTTGAACAGAAGAGACCAAGGAGCTTTCCAAACTGTTGGCAGATTCCTTCCGCCTTCTGCTGGATGAGATGACTAATATCAAGCAACAACTGTCAATAATTGGTCAGAGCTTGGCTTCACAGCAGCTACAACTGACTCAATCTTTAAAAACAACGGAGCAAATGGGGGAGAAGGTGAAGGAAATGGACGCCAATACTAAAAAAGTCAAGAAAAAGGTGAAAAGCTGGAAATGAAACAAGCTACGGAAGAGTCACAACTTTTACAGCTACGGTTCCAAGGGGTCCCAGAAATTAAAGGAGAGAATCTGAAGCAAAGGTTGAGTGAAGCAATAGCCCCAATGACAGATTTGACAGTGGAATTCCTCTACAGCGAGATGGATGTGGTCTATAGGTCCTATTCCTCATACATCAAGAAAAATAATCTGCCTGGGGAAATAGTAGTCAGATTCTCGAAGAGACATGTGAGAGACTCTACTTTGAAAGCAACTATGGGAACACCCTTGAAAATGGGGGACAACAACATCAGGATTTTAAAAGACATTCCATTTGACATTAAGACAGAAGAGAAAGAATTATGAAGAATTAATCCTTTTTCTACAAACAAATGGAACCAGTTACAGATGGCTAATTCCAGAAGGCGTCATTTTCAAACTCTACGATAAAAAAGAAAAGATTGTCTCTGTTCTTAAAGCACGTGATTTTCTGCGAACATAGCTCGGGGAACCAGCTGAGGACAAGAAGAAAGAAGAAGGGGAAAAATCTGATGGTAAGTTAGGCTCGGTGTCTTCTGACAAGGACTCACCCTCTGAAAAGGGGGCGGCTGCCCCCAAAAGTTCATACAAATTGAGGATTAGAAAAGACAAGAATAAATAATGGCTGAAGGACTCTGATTTGAGCCTGAAAATTCTGAAATAACTTTGGTATGCTCTGGGGGTTTCTTTAAACAGTTAAATGATAATTAACTTAGCATAACCGACTATGTTCACTGTATTATTAGCTTTTTAAAATAACACTGAGACAAGCTGATGTACTGATCTCCTGCTCTTGGGTTTTTAGTTATTAGTGGGTCTTTTTTCTTTCTCCTTAGTTGTAGTTCCCCTTCCTATATTTTCAGTTATAGTTTGTAGTTTGAAATAACCCCTAATAAAGAACTCCCCTTAGGGGGATTCAAAAAAGAAAAAGAAAAAATAGTAAGAAAATCAAGAGGGGGAGTTCCAGTTTGCAAAGGATGTCTGCCTCTGATCAGAAGATTCAGTCTTGATTTGGAACCAGCTTTGGAACTACATTCAGTCCTCTGTTTGGAACCAAGTCAGAAGGAGACCGGTGAATTTTTAGCCTGACATTAATTGCCTTAGTTGTAGGTTTAACAACACTAATAAACCACAGAAAATTGGGGCACAAGAAATAGAATTAGCCCTAGGCAACCCGAAGGGGGAAAACATGTGTATTGTGTGAAACAACAAAAGTAGGCATTTTGAAAGCCTGGGTACATTATCGGCCCTTCTTAAATTTGTCTTTTTGGTGGGTAGAAGGCCCCATGCTTTTGGGGCATAGGAACAGGGTCTGCAAAAGCCTCTGGTGGAACCCCGGTGAGAAACAGCCAGCTTTGATAAAGCAGGAGGAAGAAAAGTATCCTGCGCAACGTTCTTCTGAAAAGACAATTTTTTTTTTTAAAGAGGTTGATTTCGAAGCTTGTATAATTTAATATATCTCAGTGAAGGGAAGATGAGATGATAATTAGTAAACGATATTACATTAGCAAATAATTAGGACAAATAAGCCTACATGTGAGCACCATTTCTCCGGCAACCATGGAGACCTGCTACAGTGCTTGCAGCGAAATTTTGGCACTCAAATAGCAGGCGGGTTTTACACAAGGAAGCCTGCCTTATGCCCCAAAAATGGTTCTTTATAAAGTGAAGGCAGGCTTAACCTTACCTTATAGTATCACTTTTACTGTAGTCTTTTGTTTCATGGTTATTATGAAGGGCTGTACAACTGCGACTTGTCACCTTTGAATGTCTGTTGAAGGCAGGTGAATCTGACAAGACTCCACTGAGTTTCTCCTGAAGACCTGAAATGTTATATACATTTTTTAGCAGCAGGCAACGGTAACACTAAGACATCTAAAATTCTCATACAGCAGGAGACAGAGCTAGGCATTATTTTAATTTGCTTTTTTTTTTTTAAAGCAAAAAAAGTGGAACATCTTGTGCATTACCAATGAGAAGCCATCCTCCATGTCGAAGCAGTGCTAGAAACCCTCCGATGTAGCATAAGCCCTTACTATCTAACTGCTTCTATTAAGCGTCTTTTCCCGTGGGAGCTGGTTCAGCACTTTAGAGCTAAATTGGAAGTGCCAGGAGCAATACAGGAAAAAAGATACCATATTTAGCAGGCTTGTATGCAATCTTCCCTTCATGAGGATGGCCTCACTCTCCTTGAGCCTAGAATTCGCCCAGGCTGCGTGCAGATTCTAAAAGGTGTATAATTTGTCTGCCCCAAATACCTTCCCCCAATTCTCTTAATCTCCTTTGAGGAGATGGGAGAAAAAAAGGAAAACTGTGCTTGGGCAGGACAATTACCTGATCCACAGTGCCTCCTTCCTCTCTAAGGCCTAATGGAGAAATAAGCAGGAAGACTGCATAGCAATGCTACATCTGGACCCTACAGCTCTTATGCATCTATCCTTTCAGCAATTGTATGCCAAAGCAAGAGGATTAGAAGGGTAGTGTTGCCTCTATTCCGATATTCTGGACTATTGACTACTTTAAAAATAAATGGGACATGAAAAGGCCAAGCTGAGAACAGACGCACGCACACACACACACACACAATGTAGATAATCAAGCTACTGAAAATACATCTTTTAGAATGGGTAATATTGCATAAATACCTGCACTAGCTTGCAATTCGCTTTCTAAATCTGCTAAAGCTTGTTGATCGATGCTATCTTCCAAGAAGGGATCATCGTGCTCGGTGACATCGATGTCTTCAATTTCTGAAATTTCAGAAGCAGCTCGAGATAAAGGTGTAGCACGTGAACTTCTGGGTCCTCTCTGAAAGGCTGAAGGAGGACGAGAGCTGTCCTCCACAGCAGTTCTGTAGCAGGGCTTGTTTGACGAAAAAGGCCTTGGAATAGCCTTTTCTGAAACATACGAGAGAAGAATTTGTTGTTAAGAACCTGATACAAAAATCCCATCATCTAGAAATCTCCCCCCATCAATTCCTTCTTTACTCTAGAAAATACACTGCAGGTGCCAAATAACCAGTCTACTTCCATACTTGGAAACGTCTTCAATCTGTATATGAAGCCTATCCCCCAAGTCATCTCAGTAAAGAGGAGAAGGAGAAGAGATTGGATTTATACCCCACCCTTCACTACCCAAAGGAGCCTCAGAGTGGTTTACAATCCATTTCTGTTCCCCTCCCCAAAACAGACACCCTGTGAGGTAAGTGGGGCTGAGAGAGCTCTCTCGAGAACTGCCCTTAAGAGAACAGCTCTGGAAAAAACGTATGACGGACCCAAGGTCATACCAGCAGCTGCATGTGGAGGAGTGGGAAATCAAGCCCGGTTCTCCCAGATTAGAGCCGTGCTCCTAACCACTACACCAGACTGGCTCTCCAGTGCCATCTTAAACAGAGCTGCCTCTCTTTAAGTCCACTGAAAGGTCTAACTGTACTTAGGATTACACTGTTCATCGCCTCATTGTACAACTTTCTTTTTCTTAGATGTGTCTTTAAAATACACCAAGGACATGCCTCCGCGCCTACAGAGATTCACTGGGTGGCTGCTATCTGAGGCCACCTTTCTCTGCTTTGGTGCCATTACTAGATCATCCCTCCCAAATGAATTTCCTTGGCGCTTACTTCTTAGATTTCTTTAAGCCACTCAGTGAAAACCATGCTGTGCTCTCCAAGGTTTTTTTTATGGTATTCAAAGCTGATCGGATGGGATTTATTGTTATTGCCCTGGTGCCATTGATCTAGTTTCATTAGCTATGAAGATGTACTTGATTTCTATTTCTGAGCTGCCTTGGAGGCCACATGCAGAAAGGCAAGATATAACATTTCTTAGATAAATATTTTTTTATTGGGCCAAATATCTAGAGGTGCAAATGCGAAAAAATAAGCATCCGAAAAACATGTGCATCATATCTGTAGGCTTAAAGATGAGCTACGGTAAGTATATATTCATTGGCAAATCAGGATCTGCTGTCCACCGCATACCAAGTTTTCACTGCATCAGAGAGGATGTTAATAGGGTAATTGTTGTTAAGATAGTCAATCAATGAATGAACTCCTTTAAGACATATTGTGATGAATACCCCTTTCCTTCCCTGAGGAAGAGGAAGACCTAAATAGCTCAGAAGCAATCTGCTTGAGCTGATCTGTGAGAAAGAAAAATGGAGCACTTACTGAATAGCCACACTGGGCCTGTGCATGCTACACTAAGCACACAACTAGAAAAGGGCACACACACACACAAATGCTACAGAGAAAGCCTTCTTCCATTACAGAACAGACTGGAGACGAAACTGATGCAGCAGGCCCTGAACTACTCTAGCTCACTTAAGTTCTACAAACCACCGCCCATATCACCAAGGTATTGCTCAGCACTGCCCATTTGTCAGGACTGAAGTGCAACAGAAAAGTCTTGCAAGCCATACTCAGATGTGACTGCTTTAGACTACCCTCGCAATGCTCAACAAACAGTAATGGTGTTGACTTTGTAACTCTTCACACCATAATGTATGATAATTTAGTCAAAGTATTCTACCTTAACTTCACTTCCCATGTCTTTAGTTGTTGCGTTTGGAAGAGATCTAGCACAGCAAACAGATCTCTCTCTATAAAATGAAAAATTTAACATGCTGAGTCTAGTGTCCAATTGCAATGCAAATGTGTGGCTTTAGCAATGCTTTTACCACTGGGTGAGATTGAAAGTGCAGCTCGAGTACCTCGGCTCCGTCGTCCCAGCATACTTGATGGCCTGGCAAGCTCCAGGTTCAAGACATCCTGCACTACAGTTTCATCAGCACACTCACTAAAGCTGAAGTCCCTTATCCATTTGTCAGACCCTGTAGTTGGAAAGACAGATATAATTGTGACAATTAGAACCTACAGGCAATGCAGTTATGTATTCTGATAACACGCCTCTGCCTTAGAATGTATTCATAGTGATTATACATTTGCATCTGTGACAGTCTGCACTTTTTAAAAGCTTGGAAGTGCTGTACAAACAGGATTAATTATTCACAAAAACACAGAGCCTTGAGTGACAGGCTGCTCCAAGCAATCTGATTGGTTAGCAACAGCGGAGCAGCAAAAGACTTGAGAACTGTATGCTGAGGAGAGAGTCAGTCAGATTTCTGCCTTGATTGAGTTGAGTCTGATTTCAGTCTTAGCTGAGAGTAGTTTTACACAGACGGAGAACTGGGGAAAAGTTGGCAAGGAAGTTTGGGAAATAGGCGAAGGCTTCCATTCAGGCCAAGGAATGGGGATAGACCTAATGCTCTGAAGAGTGGAGAGATCCCTGAACTGGTGTGGTTAGAAACTGCCTGTAGAAACCTTAAGAGTCAGTTAAAAACTCAAGACAAATACTGGTGTTTCAAGAGAGTTTCTTGGGCTATTCACAGAGACTTAAAATCTTTATGTTGAGGGGCTTTTGTTCCAGTGTTTCCCAAACACTTCAGTTCACTTCCTTTGAGTATTCACTGACTCAGTTAGTTTCCGGAAGAGCATACCAGCCTTCCAGAAACTAACTGAGTCAGTGAATACTCAAAGGAAGTGAACTGAAGTGTTTGGGAAACACTGGAACAAAAGCCCCTCAACATAAAGATTTTAAGTCTCTGTGAATAGCCCAAGAAACTCTCATTAGCCTTAAATATAATAAAGTCAGTGAAAGTACTGGTTTTACCTCAGTTAGCTATATTGAGTTACCGCAGAATTTTCAACCCCTGATTTCACCTGACCTTTCCCCTCTATGTTGAATAAAATATTTTGTTAACTTTGAATCTGAAAATGTCTCAAGTGCCATTTTCAGTGGTTTAAGTTAAAGGGTGATCCCGACCCTTTTCTCAGGTTCCTGAGCTGAGCAAGCAGTAAAATATCATACTGACACGGGGTGGGACAGCCAGAGTTCTTCAGGACAGGAGAAAACAGACCACCAAGGCTGCTCAGTCAGAAAGGGAAAGAAAAACAGAGGGAAAATCTTGCCTCTGAGGGAGGGAAGTGGATGGGGCCATCATAGCATCTGTACCATTCCAGTGCTTTTAGAGTGCTATACTGCACACCCACAATGCCTTTCTATATGCCATTTGGACAAAATGGGGACTGACAGAATGCTTGAAGATAGCACCTGTACAGAGTCACCCTAAACAGGTATATTCAAAATCCTACCAATAGCTACTCAATAGGGCAGTGATGGCGAACCTTTTAGAGACCGAGTGCCCAAACTGCAACCCAAAACCCACTTATTTATCACAAAGTGCCAACATGGAAATTTAACCTGAATACTGAGGTTTTACTTTAGAAAAAACTCATACATTAACTTAAGATGATCCAAACAAAGTAAGGAAAGCAATCCCAAATGCAGTTCTTGAGGGTAAATTTAAAAAAATACCCTGAACAGAGAGGCTATGCTTGTGTGCATTGGGGGAGATTGAATCCCAGGAACATGTGTTCCTAAGATGCCCGTTATTTAAAGAGGCTCGTACTAAACTTATTGATCCCCTTCTGGCAGGCACTTCGGATCAGGACAAGGTGGAGAACTTGTTTCTTAACCTTGAACACACAGCGCTCCATCAGATCGCGAAATTTTGTTCCTTGGTGGTAGAAGCGCATCAGCATGATGGTTGGCACTCGGGTTAGGACTGATGATTTTAACTCGTACCGTTCCCTTTGGTAATATGTTTTATTCCTTTATACTATACTGTGTTTTATGGCAGCGTACTTTTAGTTTGGTTTTAATGAACGTAACGTTTATAATGTTAGCTCTTTTAACTTGCTGAATTTTGAAAATTTTATTATTTGGCCATTGTAATTTATTTTTTCTGGTTTTATATTGCTGGCTAATCGCTGTTACAATAAAATTCATTCATTCATGCTTTCATTTACTTAAAATTATCTGGCAGAGAATTCGACACTTTAATGATGGTCTGGGCCTGGCTGGGGCAATGGCACGCATGCCCACAGAGAGGGCTCTGAGTGCCACCTCTGGCACCCGTGCCATAGGTTCACCACCACTGCAATAGGGCTTACTCCCAGGAAAGTGTTCTTAGGACTGCACTGCCAGCATGTCTAAGAGAAGACAGCGACAGCTTACATTGTGGCTGGCATCCTTCTTGGATCCTTATCCCCTGAAGGATCCACACACACCCCTCGTGCCCACGAAGCACCCACAGGCCAGAAACGGGAAGGAACCGCAAAATGTTGCCACTTGATTTTAATTAATGAAATATATTCCTGATTATGGTTTTATTGTTCTTAAATTTGTACATCGCCTAGAGCCCCACGTTCGTGGGGATTAGCCGATTCAAAAATGCAGTAAAATAAATAAATAAAAGGACACAGGAGGCAGATTAACACAGTGAACTGTGCCAGGACTGGTATAACAGGATACTTTAATTAAACTGGGTCACCATCCTCTCACCAGACGGAATGATGGTGGTTAAGTCTTGCTAATCAACAGCTGCAACGAGTAGTTCCAGACTGTAAAACTGAGTGGCCTGGAAAGGCCAATCCGGTCATCCACACTTCTATTGCAAAAGTTTGCCATAGAAGACCCCTCCAAAAAAGTACAAATATATCTTAAATGAGTACACAGCCAGCTTGTTCAATAAAAACTAAGCTAGCTTGTTCACTCAAGCAATGATTTCTGACCACTAACGGTTCATTAACTGTTTCCAAAACAGCTTAATACATAGTACTATTAAAATAGAAAGCAGGCCTTCCTCAAAGCTTAGCTCGAGAGAAAAACCATTATCACTGTTTTTCCCCTTTACAAGATACACATAACATAGCTTAAATGGGGGAAAGGTGCATGTCTGTTTGCTCACACCTGTGCCCATGTATGCATGATTCACTCACACACCAATTACACCCTAGACTCGGCACATGCAGATAAAGATACCGCTTTATACCTCAGTGGAGGATACTGAGCCCTAAAACCATGTGTGTTCAGTAAGTGATGAATACGGAAGTGAGGAACTCTAGTTTTCCATTCCTACCTGAAAACGAAAGGCCCTTGCTTGGAGATTGCCTGCCCGTGCATGGTGAAGGAAACAAGTCCGCCGTGACTTCCTGAGAGCTTGTACTCATTGCAAAGAACCCCTCAAGTCCTCGATATGGGGTACAAACAGGTTTCTCTTTTAAGGCCACTTCTTGCAACAACTGGGATGACACAAAAGGGATTGGAAAAGTAAAACTGTTGGCTATTTTGAAACCACACTGTGTGGACTTCCACAGCAGGCTGAATGTTAAAACTATAAGGCCTTCTATGAGTCTGTGCAGATAAAGTTTAACCATGGTTTGCTGCCATAACCCTGGTTCGAGATCCCAAATGAGCAATGAAATCAAGGCCACCCATCCAAACTACCTGTGACTGTACAGGTACAAAGGCCAGAGAGGCAAGAAAAGTATAGCTTTGCTCAATGCACATGTAACACGTAAAAACCAGCACATAAAAATTAGTCTTAAAGTGGGTTCTCGGATCATATATTTGCATTAATCATAGTTAAGTATTATGTGCACATAACTAAGGTTCAACCATGGTTAATGGAAACAGTCGACAAGATCAATGTTGGCGCAAGGCCTATAAAGCATGTGAGCTCAAGACAACTGTTCTTTAAAATGTCACAAGAATATAAGGGGAGAGTCAAAGATTATCCATATGCATTATCTTGGCCCCTCTCATGCAGCACGGATAGTTTAAGTAAATTTGGAAATATTGAAATTTGCTTAGTTAGGATTGCCTTGATGCATTACAATGAAGCACAGATTTTTCAAAAGGTCACAAGAACTGGAATGCCTCCATTGTTCTAAATGTAGAAACAATGCTTACCTTGCAAGGGAAATAAGAAAGAAAAAAATCACCTTTTATGTTCTCAGTACCCATCAGACTTCAAGGGATAACTGAAAATTATCTTATCGCAGAGCAAACCAGCTTTCCTTCAATATCAGGGTCTAACAGCATTTACTGAGCTCCACATCTGACTCAAGGCTCTGGACAGCCTTCTTTTTACCCCTCCCTTCTGTCAATTCGTTTTATTGCTTGCTTTATTCTGTTTTTACCTGTGGGATTTTGGCATATGTGCCCGTCTGTTAGCTGCCCTGAGCCCACCTGGGGAGGGCAGGGTATAAATTTAACAATCTCTCCCTATAATATAATTCTGTAAGATACAAAGTCACGCAATGCGCACCTACAGTGTATGGACGGCTCGCCTGTCCGTCAATGGCTTGCCCACGTCCCATTGGCCATGCCGTCTGAGTCCCACCTCAGACGCAGCTTCAAGTGACCTGGAGGTGGCAGGCGGCTGCCATGGGCGCAGGGCTAAGGCCGGCGGCCGGCTGGGGCACGGCGGAGGAGGCGGGCGACGTGCGGAGGGGTGGCTGGAGGTGACCGCCGGCAGTGACGGCTTGCGCGGGATCTTCCCGGGGGCTCGAGGCAACGGGCGGCTGCGGTGGCCGCCGGGCTGCGACCGTCAGGCCGGAGAGGGGGAGGACGCCAGCACAGTGCAGAGGGGTGGCTGGATCCGACGGGCGGCTGCGACGGTCAGAGGGGGGCTAGCTGCCCATTGTATCACCCTGCTCAACGGGCCTTGCTCCCTAGTAAATAAATAAATTCATTAAGTAGGAGCAGTGGCTATGACTGGGCAAGCAGGTAACAGCCTCTCTGACTTGGCTTCTGTTTTCAGGTTTTACCCTGGTGGAAGGGGGAGGAGTTCATATAAATATTGTATACATCTTATGTATTGAACATGAGTCACAAACTGCCTGTGCAGGCATCAGAATGGCAAGGGTGAAAGAAGCTGGGGGAATTAAAAGACGCAATCACCAATCTAACATTTCCTGTTTACACAGTAACTTTATGAAAGGGTTCGTGAGCCAACTGCAACGGGCCATCCTAATTCCCTGTTGGGATTCTGCTCACAGAATCATCCAAGGAAGGTACCTCCACGTGCATGCAGTGACAGGATCCCTTTGAAAAGTCAATGGGTGAATGGAAAAGGCCATTTTCTAAGTAACATATTTTATCTGAAAAGGCAACAGGGCAAGGGTAAAGAAGTACAAGCCCTCTTCAGAGATACTGGAGGAAGCATCTGGCACATGAACACACACGGAACTGCCTTATACTGAATCAGTCCATCAAGGTCAGTAATGTGTATTCTGACTGGCAGCGGCTCTCCAGGGTCTCAGGCAGAGGCCCCTCATATCACCTACTGCTTGGTCTTTTTTTTAACTAGAGATGCTGAGGATTGAACCTGGGACCTTCCATGTGCAAAGCAGAGGCTCTTTCCAGTGAGCCAAAGCCGCCTCCTATGCTGTCACTTCTCTCACTCTTCCTCCTCTCAACCACCTGATGTCCTTGCACAAACACATTCCTTTAGCTCCCGTGGTGAGGAAAAACGGTCTCATTCTATGAGGCTAAAAGGGCGATATGCCTCGTGAGCCAGAAATGTGTTCTTGTTGCTAATTTGAAACCCAGTTCAGTGAAAAGCGATGGGGAACAATTCTTTCTTTTTTTACCATGGAGCATTCGGTAGTTACTGATGAAACGTCCCTCAACTCTGGTGCTCCCTCGCAGTCTTCAAGGAATTCCATCAGAGGGGAAGATTCACAAGGAGCCAACTCGAGACGACTAGAAATCTGCCCCGGTGACATGCAGGAACGATCCTTTTTCACTACTGTGGGCTTTTCTTTTGTTGCAGCTCTTTCATAAGGAATGCTGGAAACTTCTGTACTGGAAGGATCACGAAGGACATCCGTTCTTTCCGACTGTACAGAAGTTGAGCTCGCTAAGGGAGGGGGGGAGGGAAGCCACACGTTACATCCATTTAAATCCCTGCATGCAGTCTCTCAAATCATTATCTCAAAATAGCCCATTAAACACACAAGTTATGTCAGCTCACACATAAAACCAGGGATCTGGATTTAGACAGAAGCTGTTGCCATTACACAAATGGCTGGTTGCTGTCTCCTCCCTTAATTTGGCTATTTCCGAATTAAAAAATCATTTTTAGAGTTAATCAAAAGCACTAATAAGTTCGGGGCCAAAGAAGAACTCCTTCGTCCAAGCCTAAAAGCAGGAAAGTTGTTACTCCCCGCCCCCCTTGTTATGTTCTGTTACATTTCATCCAATCTTGCTTTCATTAAAGATGTTATTACTTGATGGCAGATGCTTGGATAACGCCTGTGTAACATCCACTTCAGTGCTCATCTTGAACGTCGGATCTCAGCAGTGCCAATTTTAACAGAGGCAGCTTTGTGCCCGTCCACATCACCTATGGCAAACAATCTGCGGGAGGTTCAGAGGTGAACCCTTTTCCAACCCAGTTTCACCGACTTGTTCTACAAAACATTCCTCAACTAGGCATACCAGCAGCTGCCAAGATGATGTGCCTTTGAGAGCAAACGTAGAAACTGCCTCTTAATGCTAGATCCAAGTGATAAAACTCTGGGCTTTTGAAGTGTGAACAAGCACTAGATAACGTAACTATAGGCAAAAAAACAATGTTGACACAAGTCCTCCGACAGCAAAAGCTGATGTTTCAAGCTTACCTCCCGGAAGTTCTTCATGTTTATTATGAAGAAAAGTTAAATCATTTTCTTTGTCAACTGCAGAAAAAAGAGGTGACCTCGTGGGAATGTCGACAGCTTGTGCCAGAAAAATGCCTCGTTCAGTTTTGTGATTTTCTGACATGGTACCGCTTGATATATATGGCAAAAATTGGAACAAGAAAAAAAAAATGAACAGATTGTCACACGAAAGTCTCCTCCTACAGATTTGTGTGAGTTGAAAATACATATGAGCTACACATTAAGATATTTTCAGTTCAGAAGGCCTTTGGCATTCTGGAAGTCTTTGTCATGCTGATTTTATCCTGGAGCCATTTCATACAGGTCATTGATGCAACATACACTCAAGTAACTGGAAAAGGCAGCATGGAAACACAAATATCAGCTACGTCTTTAGAAAAGAGAAGAAAAACTATGAAATGAAACCATGTTAAGGTTTCTCCATTTATTATCTGGACAGCTGTGTGAAAGACAAAGTTAATCCACTTGCTAAGTAGCAAAGATGTAGACTGTCCAGGACAAATCACAATGGATATTCCCAAAGCAGTATCAGGGATGCTGACCAAAATTTATCTGGACAGCTGTGTGAAACCATAGTTCATAGGTCAAAATCATTACCTGTAGTCATCAAACTCTTCAGATCCAGCTTCTGTAATCACAACGCTGGCAGATTCTTCAGGCTCCTCCTTGCAAGCCTTATAAAAAACAAATATATTGTTTTTTAAAAATCAGATCGTTCCGTCCTGAAGGCTCAAACACACAATAATGCTGTTGCCCGAAATGTAGAATGGGATTTTCTTATGAATGAGAGTAAGACACTATAAAATGATGGTTGCCCGAGTGTCAGTGTAAAATTGCTCCTCCCCTGCTTTCCTCTTTCCCCTGCAATATGGCGAGGAGGAGCCATTTGGAATCTAATTACTCGCTCCTTTTATGCAGCATGAGTGGAGGCAAGCCCACTTTAAATGAGTAGAACCCTTACTTGTTGCCGCTGATATCAAATGACCAGTTGCTGTCCAAGCACAGCTATGCATAGTCTATTGTGCCAACTGATCTTGGTCGCTAAAAGGAAAGGTGCCAAGATTCAGAGATCCCCTTTGTCACCTTCCTAATTCCAGCTTTGTACTAGCAGCGTTATGCTCCCTGGCTGACAAAGCCAAGCTACTAAGGATAAACTCAAAGGCACACTTTTTGCATCACCACCTTCCATATCTCAAGGCTGAGCTCTGCTGTAGAAAGCAAGTTCTTGGAAAGACTCCAGCTCATAAGAACAGCCCTGCTGGATAAAACCAGAGGTCCATCTAGTCCAGCATCTCACACAGTGGCCAACCCGTTCCACTGGAGGGCCGACAAAAAGGGCACAGAGATCAAGGTTTCCCTTTACTCAACGTTGCCTACTAGCACTAGGATTCAGAAGGTTTATTGCCTCTGAATATGGAGTTCGCCTTTACTCACCATGGCTAGCAGCTCCTCCATGAAACTGGCTCAAAATAAGAACAAAATACTGGACAAAATGTGGGCAGACATACTATGCCAGGAAATCTAAGAAAACACATGTTGAGCGTATTCTGTGTAGCACATTTTAAATCTCACCTTTCCTTCCTTAAGTTCAAGGCGGCATTCTTGGTTCACCACTCCACACTTTATCCTCGTAACACCTCTCTGAGGTAGGTTAAACCAAGATGACAGTCACACACACTAAATAATCCACTTTCTATGCACCTTCCAACTGGATTTTGCCAGTTCACACACTAAAAATCCAGTTGGAAAGTGCACTGAAGGTGGATTGACAGTGGATTATTTAGTGTGTGTGACCGCAGCCCAAGACTGACCAACTGGCCTCAAGTTACCCAAATGAGCTTCATGGCAGAGGGGGATTTGAACACGGGCCTCCCAGATCCATGACCAACGCTAACCCCTGTAACACACAGGCTCCCATTCATTCAGGGCCTCTCTGCATGGGGTGGTCTTGTCAGTTCTGGTCCCGTATTGCTTCAGTTTATCCCCTGATCTCCATACACATTTTGATGCCTTTAGTTTTCATTTTGGGATTTTTGTTTTTTCCCCCTCCTTCCCCGCAGTTCTTTTGAAACCACATGTACCCCGATGTTTTTCTGGAAGCCGGTTTTGAGATGGCTTTTCCCTCCTGTGCAATGTTTACATTAGTTTTCTTTATCTCACCCACTCCCACCTCCAGACTGTCCAGTGATTGGTCATGGTCAAACCACCCTTCCCCCCCCAAAGACGAGTGATTTTTTTTAATGGCACTAAAATATTGATATATTTACTTAAGCAGCGTAACAATAGGCTTATGAGGTTGTCTGAATTCCCAGTTTTTATTTTTTTAAAAAAAGTAAATAGAGATAAAGTTGTCTGAAATGGACACTGTGCAAGATCACATTATATATGAGAGCCAATTTGGTGTAGTGGTTAAGTGCGCGGACTCTAATCTGGGAGAACTGGGTTTAATTCCCCACTCCTCCACATGCAGTTGCTGGTGTGGCCTTGGGTCAGTCACAAGTTCTCTCAGAGCTGTTCTCTCAATAGCAGTTCTCTCAGGGCTCTCTCAGCCCCACCCACCTCACAGGGTGTCTGTTGGGAGAGGAAGAGAAAGGAGTTTGTAAGCCGCTCTGAGACTCCAAGTGAAGGGCGGGGTATAAATCCAATCTCTTCTTCTTCTCTTCTTCTATATGTTTATAAGAGCTTTTAGCTGCAACAAATAAAACAGAATGGAACAGACCATGCAATACGTACTTACATCTTCAAGGATCTCAATTTTCAGAGAAGACTCAAGGTTTACAGGAACTGCCTCAGGCTCTTCTTCCTCAACATCTGCCCAGAATTTTTTCATCTCTTCAGCTGGAATTTAAAAAAAAATCCTGCCAGCTTTTTATCCTGCATACTCCTGCGAAATACTCGTGCAGACAAACAACTCCAGATTAAGGAAACACCAAGCATGAAAGGACACTCTCTGGTTTCATATTCTCGGAGTGAGCAGTTGAGATATCTCGTTAAGATCCTAAAATAAAATGAGCTTTTATAGTATCTCAGATCTCTGAGACAATAGTATTTAGGGAACCACATGAGTAAACTGAGAATACCAAAGCAGCATGACAATCCTTCAGTTTATGTGTATCATGTTAGGAGGGAAAATTGTTAGGTTGAATTCAAAAGTAATTTCCTACGAACATACTAACATAATCTTGGCACGTTGGGCCAAGCAATGTGAGCCGCCCTGAGCCCGCTTGCGGGGAGGGTGGGCTAGAAATGTAATCAAATAAGTAAATAAATAAAAGAGGATGAGATACAACCAGGGATTGTTTGAAAGGGAAAAAAAAGAGGACTCATTCAGATTCTCACATTTATAGTGCTATGCTCCAACGACCAATAGGCTGTTCGAGACATTCCTGTGAAAAAGGTACAGAAAGACCACTTAACATCAGATAATGGGGATACCCCATAGATTCCACTGGCATTTCAATCAGTCCTCATCTGCTGTACTGACTGGTAGATAAACAGACGGGGCTGAAGTACACTGCACATCTTGGCTTTGAGAATTAAAGGCACTGAAAGAGTACACAGGGTCTGCTGTGTTTTCCAGACACAACCTTCAAGAAAAATAAATTAAGGTAGCTGTGTAGGTGTATTAAGTGCCTTCATGTTGCTTCTGACTTATGGTAGACCTAAGAAATAAAGTCCTCCAAAATGTCTTATGGTTAACAGCCTTGCTCAGGTCTTACAAACTGAGAGCCAGTTTATAGGGTCAATCCATGTCATGTTTGCTCTTCCTCTTTTCCTGCTTCCTTCAACTTTTCCTAGCATTACTGTCTTTTTCAGTGACTCTTGTCTTCTTAAGGTAAAGGTAAAGGTTCCCTTGCTCGAAAGCCAGTCGAGTCCGACTCTAGGGTTGCGGTGCTCATCTCCGTTTCGAAGCCGAAGAGCCAGCGCTGTCCGAAGATGTTTCCGTGGTCATGTGGCCGGCATGACTAAACACCAAGGCGCACGGAACGCTGTTACCTTCCCACCGGAGTGGTACCTATTTATCTACTTGCAATTTCTTGCTTTCGAACTGCTAGGTTGGCAGGAAACTTGTCTTCTTAGAATGTGACTAAAGTACAATAGCCACGGTTTAGTCATTTGAGCTTCTAGGGAGAGGTCAGGCTTGATTTGATCAAGAACCCAATGATTTGTCTTTTTGGCAGTCCTCAGTATCAGTATGACTTTCTTTCAACACATTTCAGTAACAACAACAACTCGTGTCAGCTTTCTTTATTGTCCAACTTTCACACCCGTACATAGTAATCAGGAATACTATGGCATGAATTAACTTGACCTTGGACAACAGTGACATAGCCTTACTCTCTAGTTCCTTTGTGGCTGCCCTGGCCAGTCTCAATCTCCCTCTGATTTCTTGGTTGTCAATGGAGCCAAGGAATAGAAAATCTTGAACAATTTCAGTTTCTTCATCATCAACCTTAAAGCTGCGTCATTCCCCAGTAGTCATTACTTTTGTCTTCTTGATGTTCAGATGTAATCCTGCTATGGCACTTTCTGCTTCAACCTTCATCAGGAGTCGTTTAAAGTCTCCACTGTTTCCTGGTTATAATGTGGTGTCATCTGCATACCTCAAACGGATAATGTTCCTTTCACCAATTTTCACTCCACTGTCATCTAAATGTATCCCAGGTTTCCTTATGATATGGTTCTGCATATCGACTGAAGAAGACACATGGAGATAAAATACATCCTTATCTGACACTTTTGCCAATTGGAAACCATTCTGTTTCTCCACATTCTGTCCTAATAGTAGCCTCTTCTCCAGAGTACTGGTTGCGCAGCAAAACACTTAGATGCATTTTGTTTTAAAACCAGCTATAGCTTTTCATTGCCCACACAGTCCTTTGTTGTGCTCTATGAAGCATAAGCTGCTTTTCTTCTGAAATTTTCTCGTATGCTCCAATAACCAACTGATGTTTGTAATATGATCTCTAGTGCCTCTTCCTTTTCCGAATCTGGCTTGAACATTTGGCATTTCATGTTTCATTTATGGTAACAGTCATTGTTGTAAGATTTTGAGCATCACTTTACTCACAAGGATAATTAATGAGATGGTAATAGTTGCTGCAATCGTTGATGTCTTCTTTTTTTGGAATTGGAATGTAAATTGACTTTTTCCAGTCTGTGGGCCATTGTGTTGTTCCATATTTGTCAGCATATTCTTGTTAAGATTTTGATGCTCCATTTCTGTGGCTTGGCATATCTCTATTTCTCCCAATTGCTCTCAGTACAGCTTTCACTTCACTTTCTAAAACTGAAGGCTCCTTTTCAAAAGATGCTTCTCGGAAGAAATCTGTCATCCTTTCATCTCTTTTGTATAGTTCTTCAGTGTATTGTTCCTATCTTTTATTTTGTCCTGTTCAGCTAATGTATTTCCGTGTTGATCTTTCAGCATGCTTGACCGTGCTTTAAATTTCACTTTGATTTCTTGGATCTTGTGGAACAGTTCTCTTGTTCTTCCTTTTTTGTTGTTCTCTTCCATTTCTTTACACTGATCATTACAATAGTTCTCTTCGTCTCTATGTGCCAGTCACTGGAATGCTGCATTTAGATTTTTGATTCTGTTTCTGTCACCTTTTACTTTTGCTTCCCGTCTATCTTTAGCAATTTTAAGAGTTTCATCAGTCATCCATCAAGGCTTTTTATTTTTTTTTTACTACAGGAACAGTCTTTGCACATTCTTCTCTAATAATATTTCTGGTTTCAAACCACAGTTCTTCTGGTTCATGTTCACTTGCACTTAGTAAAGGAAATCTGTTCTTCACATGGTCTGTAACTCTTCAAAAATGTTGCTTAGATTGTATCTTGGCACAATAAATGTTTTGGTGTTTTTCTTCAGCTTCATTCTGATCTTCCATATTAACAGATCATAGTCTGTACCACAATCAGCACAGGTCTTGTTTTAGCAGATGAGCTTCTCCATCTTCGGCTTCCAATTATGTAATCTATTTCTGTGTTGCCTTCCAGTGATGTCCTCCACATATACAATCATCTGTTTTGTTGCCTGAAACATTTATTTGCAATGAACAAACAGTTGTCTTCACAGAATTCTATGAGTTGCTCATTTTGTGCTCCTAGCCCATCTCCGAAAAATATTTGATTTTTCTTTGTTTCCTTTTGTGTTTAAAGTGGTTAGCTTTTATCTATCATCATGTTTCCTTCCTCTCAGAACGTCCTTTGTCCCATTTTGAAGGGGGGGGGAAATCTACTATTTCTGATTCAATGTTGATAAGAAGCAAGAGGAACACCAATACACTTTCCATGAAATGTATATGCTCTCCACTGAACCAAACAAACCATCTTTGTTTGGTTCGGCATGAGAGCTAATCAGTGTTAATCACTATGTATTCTTGAGACAAGACCGATGTACTCCTGGACCGATAACTGAAATGCAATCTTGTCATAAAAACAAAACAATGACTGGCCATTGTGTGTCAAAAGCATGGGAAGCATAGCTAACAGAGGGGCATCTGCAGCTCAGAGATTCTGCTACAGCCCCTAACATGAACAATGTTTCACGGCTGCTGAAATCTTCTCCATGCATGCAATCTCTTAGTGTTGGTTCACTTACTCATATGCAGACAATGCACTAGGGTTTGATTAGCTGTGTGAATGCTTGACAGAGACACATACCTTCCTGTAGCTGTTTACTCTGCTGCAAATCCTTAGTTTGAACTATAGTGTACCAAAATGTGGCCACACAACAGGTATGTGCAACAGATCTTAATATGGCCTTGTAAACTGATCCTTACACAGCTAGGTGTTGGACTGAGCCCTGATATTCATCCTCCCAAAAACCTGATTAACCAGTCAGATTCTTATGATGTCTTGCCTATGGGAATACTAAAGTACTCTATATAATGGATGGAGAAGGCCAGCAAACCTGCTAAATGAGCATTTACAACTTCCTCATCCTCCTCTTCTCCAACCCAAGTATCATGAGCTTCATTTATCAGAGATCTGGCAGGTTTAAGTTCATCTTCTAGAACATCTGGCAACATTTCAAGTGGAGTCCTATGGAAGTAAAAAAAAACAACACAAATGCTTCAAAACTGCAGTAATATACCACAAATCCTTTTTGTCTACACACCGTGACTGAAGTTTGATCTTCAACCACAATGCCTGGCTCTTCTAAGAAAGGCTGCATGTTATTGTTGGGTTCCAGGTAGAGTACAGAAAACCACTGCAAGTCAATGCTAAACTGCAGCTCCTTCCAAAACTAAAATTCATACCCATAGTTTCTTCTATGAACAAAGCAAGTAAAAAACATTTCAACTGCTTGCTAACAATATAATCCTCTAAAATTAAATCATTCAATTTAATATTGGTAATGTACTTGTCCCGCAGTACTTAACTATAAAGCAATAATTTCCAATATCACTGTACAGGTACTTTGATTTATAAAAACTCTACATTAAAAGAGGCAACTAGATCAAAAAACACAGCTTCTTATGTGCATGTAGGCAATTTGGTGAATACCTTTTGTATTTCTTAAGCCATAATCTTTCCATATATTTCAAGCTATCCTCTTTGAATTGGATTTTCATAGTTTTTTTCATAATTGGAGGACTTGTTTGCACCTCACAGGTTTCTGCATTTTCTGCAAGAATGCAGAAAAAAAAATATTGGCTACTATTTGAACATATTAATTTAACCATCGTATCTCATTGTCAGTAGAAACTCTTAAATTACAACAACATAAGCAGAAAGGGGGGGGGGGAGCTCAGGAAAAAAATTCTAAGGGTCTAACTCATTGACTGCTGGTAAACATGTACAACCCATATAGAGTATGCCCAACCCTGGCCATGCAGTCACTGCAGATGCTTCACTGATCAACGATTGGTGCTTGTTAAGTTACCAATGTACATGCATGTTCAGTAGATCTGACACCAGCAACCAGGACAATGCTATCTCAGAATTGCCTATCTCCATTCTCAAAACCAGACACATGTATCGGACGTACACAACTGAATGCTGACAATCCTATTTAGGTAGCTAATCATGCTCCATGAGTATCCTGAGAGTGCTGCAGCGGTGAAAAAGGTGAAAAAATCCCTATGTTAGGGATTATTAGGAAAGGGATTGAGAATAAAACAGCCAATATTGTAATGCCCCGTTATAGATCTGTGGTGCGGCCTCATTTGGAATACTGTGTGAAGTTCTGGTCACCGTAACTCAAAAAGAACATTGAAAAGGTGGGAAAAGTACAGAGGAGGGCACCAAGATGATTTCCTATGAGGAAAGGCTGAAGAGTCTGGGACTTTTCAGTTTAGAAAAGAGACAACTAAGGGGGGACATGATAGAGGTTAGAAAGAGTTGACAAAGAGAATTTTTCTCCCCCCCAAAACACTAGAACCCAAGGGGATCCAATGAAACTGATGGGCAGTACATTCAAGACAGACAAAAGGAAATACTACTTTACCTAGAGAGTGATTAAAATGTGGAAATCGCTGGCAGAGGATGTAGTGATGGCCCAGGAATAAACAGCTTTAAAAGGGGATTAGATAGATTCATGGAGGATAAGTTTATCAATGGCTACTAGACATGGCGGCTAAGGGAAACCTCCACATTCAGAGGCACTAAGCCTCTGAATCTCAGAGCCAGGAGGAAACATCAGAGGAAAGCCTTGGCCTCTATCCCCTGTTGTTGGCCATCCAGAGGAACTGGTTTGCCACTGTGTGAGACAGGATGCTGGAGTAGATGGACTACTGGTCTGATCCAGACAGGTTTTTCTTCTGTTGTTATCCTTCATTCATCTCTGGGGTGGATCCAGATTAAGTTTCCCATTGCTAAATGGAACTTTCCTACTTCCCCCCTTCCACTGCAGCCCAATGTTCTCCACAAGATACCCCTTCTGGTGGGGAGAGGGTCTATGGTGGGGTGGGGAAAACCAATGGACAAAATCAGGTTAGTGGAAAATTTAGACCCGATCCAACCCTTTGTATGGAACAGCTGTGACTGCCATATGCTGAAGAGAGAATCTGCAGCTGCGTTTTGTTATTTCTGATGTTCTGTTTTTAGAACAACACAATAAATTGTTATATTTTGTATCTTATTTGGAAATGCTATCCGTCGTAACTGCACTTAGCTTGAAAGCTCAGTGTAAATTAGGGTTGTGCTTATTTGTTCAGACTGAAGAATGTGCTGCTACGCAAAACATGTTTTTCTCAAACATTAGCAGCTATTGTTCTATACCTGGCTCAGACTGACAGCAACGTTCTTCTGTATGCTTTCGAGGGGAATTTCTGCTTCTCCACTGATTTAGTGCTTCCTGGAAAGACTTTGCAGACTCTTCTTCACTAAAGGTACCATGCAGTAAAGACCCACCCGTCTGGCACTTGGACGTAACTCCCGTTGGTACTGTAAAAGCCTCCTGGATTAAGTTCAAGAATTACCTGTGACTAATTGAAATCCATTAATTCCAATATACCCTAAGAACATGAATAAGTCACAAACCTACACTAAACACAAATGCACACACAGAGTTTTCTTCATTGAAGAAATCAGGTTTTAACAGAATAGAACAATGCAATAGTCACTGGTTTCTTTAATACATTTCTTAGCCACCACTGTAGAACAAACCTGCTCAGTACCCCACAGAGTAAAATCATCAAAACAATCATCAGTTTAGAATTACGATCTGTAACAAAAGCACAGAACGCCCCAGACCAGCAAGGTATAAGGTAACTCAACTCCATATTAAAAAAAAAATCTGTCTGGCTACACTGGGTGCGATACATAGCTAAAAATACTTGGAAACCCAATGGAACATAAGCAAACAATGTGTTGGATTGTGGTAAAGGAAACCACACACTCCACATCACTCAAATATTACTCAAGGGAGACAATGAACACACAAAGTTGCCTTATACTGAACCAGTATAAGGTCAATATTGTCCACTCAGACCTGTAGTGACTCTCCAGGGTCTCACGCAGAGGTCTTTCAAATCACCTGTGAATTAACTAATGAAGTCAAAACCTTCCTCCAAGTATCCCATGAGGATGCACTCACTTTCAATAGGAGCATACATATTGTGCAACCGAGGCATCTCATAGATAACAGCCACAGCTCTCTAGAAACCAGTGTGGTGTAGTGGCTAGAGGTCTAGGAGACCCAAAATCAAACCCCCCCTGACCATGAACTTGCTGGATGACTTTGAGCCAGTCGCTGTCTCTCACTGTAGCCCACCTCACAGAACTTGTTATATACCACCCTAAGCTCCTTAGAAGAAAAGCAGGATTTTTTTTAAAAAATGTACTAGATAGATAGGCAGAGAGAAACTAGGAATGCCTGAAAAGAATACTGTGGTAATTGTGGGCATAGCTGTATAGAAGACGTGTCCACTATTAACGATTATGGGTATGGAGGAGCTGAATCACATGTTACAAAATACCTCAGCTGCTTTGGTGGAGAGCATAGGCTATAAAGGTTATACATAAACCCATTTTCTCACAAACACATCTTCAGGGACAAGAAGATCTCAGGACCCTGTGTCTAGAGACAAACCCACTAAGATTAAGGGATTAATAGTATTAAGCCAACGATAATGCTAGCTGCTATTAAACTCTCACTGCAGAGCCAGGGACTGAATTTTTGAGGCATCTTAAAAGCTTCTTCTAACCACACTGCAGCAGACCATTATTTTTCCTTCCCTTCCCCCCCCCCCAGAAATGATGCATGCTCTACCTAACTGTGTATTATGTAACAACACCATACTGAACTATATTTAGACGTGTTTTTAAGAGAAGCCTGTTACCCATTCTTCACTCCAAATTAAGGCTTTTTTAAAACTTAGAAACAGAAGCATTTTGCAAATACGAAGGCAGAGTACCTTCCTTTCTCTAAAATAATACAAAAATATGAACTTGTCAGACCACTGGTCAGCCTAGCACTGTGCAGTCTACCTCTACAGGCAGTGCCTCTCCAAACTCCCAGACCAGAGGCCTGCCCCAGTTCTAGAAGTAGAGATGCTTTGTTACTAGAATGTCAGAGATTAAATTTGGGACCTTCTGTTTGCAAAGTATATAGTTTGTTCGGGGGGGGGGGGGGTGGTTTTTTTTTAAAAGGTTTTACTTTAAGAAACTAACAAACAAAAACCTTCTTTACTCAAGGGGCTCCCTGTCCCTGGCTTGACGCTACAGCTAGCTGAGAAAATGACAGTTCATATAATTCCTCAGCAGGTAACAAACGTGATAAAGTGTCCCTCCTGTGTTCAACTATCCCACACTCTTCCAGTTCCTCCCCCTGACTCATTTCATAAAGAAGAAGGGGGTTTTGGCTCATGAAGAGGAAGATGTTTCATGCACACAAGAAACCAGACCTTTTCTTCAAACAAAAAATAGGAAAAGGTTTATTAAAGAACAAACAAGAAAGGAAAGTTTACCATTAGGCAACACTGTCGGCTTGATTAAAAGCACAAAGCGATAAAAGCTGACTTTTACGCTTGGTGGGCTTCCGGTCGGGCTAAGATGGAGGACTGACATACTTTCGCGATTGTGCGAAGTGAGCGACGGCCGCTTTTGACAGCTTGGGCAGTTTTTAGCCCAACGCATCGCTCCCCAGTGAGGGGGGGGACAAGCAGGCAGCAGCGCCTAAGAGGGAGTGTGAGGTTGGCGTGATCCGGCTCCCGAAGGAGCCGTTTCATGCTTTGATCTCCTCCCCCGAAGAAGGCAAGTGCCAAGCAACTCTGCAGCGGCCGTTCGAGCCGGATTACCGGTTTAAGCTCTCTACCAGCCGACCTCTTGAAGATGGGCAACAACAGTAAGTGAAAAGAAGCAATGCGAAACCCGATTTGATCGTGCTAGATAACAATAAACGTGCCGCTTACCTGAACTGTGATAAGATAAAAATTGAAACAAGCGGTTGAGCGGGAAATGACCAAACATTCCCAGAAATCCGATTCCGGCAAAGAAAATAGTTGATTGAAGGCTTTAAAACAGTAAAAAAGAACATTGTTTAACATTCCTGCGGTGGGAATTGAGATATGTGCGCAGCCAAAACACCCTGAAAAAGAGGTAACTTTTTTGTTTGTGGATGCGGAAAAAGCATTTGACAATCTTAATTGGAAGTTTATGTTACAGATGATGGAAAAAATTGATACGGGACAACAGTTCAGAAATTGTATTGAAGCTATCTATTCGGAACAAAGAGCTACACTGAATGTAAATAAAGAATTGACCGATAGCTTCAAGGTACAGAAAGGTACTCGGCAGGGTTGTCCCTTGTCACCGCTATTGTTCATTTGGGTGTTGGAGGTACTTTTACAAAAAATACAACAAGATCAAGAGATTAAGGGTTTGACACATAAAGGTTTTAAATATAAATACCGTGCTTTTGCAGATGACGTAATGTTTATTGTGGAAAACCCGACGGAAGAGTTACCGTTACTATTTCAAAAAATAAAAGATTTTGGAGAATTGGCAGGATTTTATGTAAACAAGAATAAAACGAAGCTTATTTGCAAAAATATGACGAAACAAAAACAAGTGGAACTACAAAATTTGGTACAATGTGAAGTGGTAAAGAAGACGAAATACTTAGGCATTGAGTTAACTGCAAAGAATATAGACTTATATAAGAACAATTATGAAAAACTATGGGCTAAGTTAACCCAAGACTTTAAGAAATGGGACAAAATGAACTTGTCACTGATGGGAAGAATTTCAGTTATAAAAATGAATGTCCTACCACGTTTGATGTTCCTGTTCCAAACAATACCAATACTTAGTAAGACAGATTTGCTGCAAAGGTGGCAACAAGAACTATCAAAGTTTGTTTGGGCAGGCAAGAAACCGAGAATTAAGATGAAAATACTTTGTGATGCCAAGGACAGAGGTGGACTACAGCTACCAAATCTCAGATTATATTATGAAGCGGTTTGTATGACCTGGTTGAAGCAATGGGTGAAATTAGAAAATGATAAGCTATTGGGGTTAGAAGGTCATGATTGTAGATTTGGTTGGCATGCATATTTATGGTATGACAAAACAAAAATGGATAGCTTTTTTAAGCATCATGTGGTAAGAAAAGCATTATTTGTGGTATGGATGAGATATAAAAAATATTTTGGTGATGTAAGGCCACTTTGGATTGTACCAGTGGAAGTGTTAACATCTTACTCAAGACGTAGAGACAAAGATTGGTTGCTGTATAAAGACATAATAAAAAAAGAGGGAACAGAATGGGTAATGAAAAAGCAGAATGAAATTGAATATGAATATGAATGGTTGAAATACATGCAGATCTCTGACCTTTTTAGGTCAGACAAAAGAAATTATGGTTTTAGAGAGGAAAAAAATGAAATGGAAAAGGTATGGGAGAGTGGAGGGGGAAAAGATATCTCTAAAATGTATAAAGTGTTGTTAAAATGGTATACAGAAGATGAGACTGTGAAAGAGCAAATGTTAAAATGGGCAATAAATATGAATAAGGAAATTGACATAGAAACCTGGGAATATTTGTGGAAAAATGCTATTAAAATATCACCCTGTACCAATGTTAGAGAGAATTGTTACAAAATGATGTATAGGTGGTATATGACCCCAAAGAAAATTGCAAATATGAACCAGAATATGTCAAATAAATGTTGGAAATGTAAAAAACATGAGGGCTCATTTTACCATATGTGGTGGACTTGTGAAAAAGCTACACTCTTTTGGACAAAAGTCCACAAAGAAATGCAAAAAATACTTAAGTGCTCTTTCAAGAAAGCGCCTGAAATTCTGCTTTTGGGACTAAAAATGGAAGAAGTTAACTCGACTAAAAGGACTTTATTCTGGTACCTTATTACAACAGCGAGGATGATTTATGCACAATTTTGGAAGACTGAGAAAGTACCAGAAATCGAAGACTGGATACAAAAAGTTCTGTTCATGGCAGAAATGGATAAAATTACAAAGAAGTTGAATAATCAAGACGACAACGTGTTTTTTCAAGAATGGAATGACTTTAAAATATATCTGGAAAAGAACTGGGATGTAAAACAAAACTTAATATGTTTAGATCAATATTAAGTCAAATGATGTTATCTTGAGGTTGGACGATAACAAATGATGTGTTAATGATATAATGAAATTTGTAAGAAGGGGGAGAAGCATTGCGGGAAGCCACTGGAGGGAGGGGAGGAAGGGAATGAGGTAAACAATGGACTGAATGATTTAATCTTATATGTTATGTTCCTAAGAAAATAAAAATTTGTTTACCAAAAAAAAAGAAAGGAAAGTTTACCATTAGGCAACACTGTCTGCTTGATTAAAAGCACAAAGCGATAAAAGCTGACTTTTCTGTCTAGCACACTGATATCTGACATTAGATGGCACAGTCACGGAATGTCAGAACCCAAAGAAACAGAGGCTTAAGCATTCTTCTACAGTTCAACAAAGTCCAGGCCTCTGTTCAGCAAAATCTCCAAGTCAGCTGTCCCCTTCCCTTAATCTCTAGCTCAATTATAACTTTTGGTCCTTTTGCATCAGATGATGACCCCACATCACATCAGGGTCCACATGCATAGGAACTCTCTGGAAGATTGAATCATCATTCCTACTCCCCCCTCCCACTTTAATGAGCCCAGGTCTTCAAGAAAAACTGTCACCTTTTTGGCTCCAGCCTTGAAGAAGATAAGAGCCTGTGTCCAAAACAGATTAATTACCAACACCTGCAGTGCTGGAAGAGGTCCACTAATATTCACATTAACCCTTGGGAGGAGACAGGGTGCTTTGCCTCACACACTGATTTCAGGAGGAGATGGAAAGCCAAGTCCAGTGAAATCAGTGGAACGTAACTGTGATGCACTCTGACTGGACAGCATCCTCAACAAATGAAGCTTTTGATAAGAGAAGAAGAAGAGCTGGTTTTTATACCCCGCCCTTCACTACCCGAAGGAGTCTCAAAGCAGCTTACAATCACCTTTCCCTTCTTCTCCCCACAACAGGCAACTTATGAGACAGGTGGGGCTGAGAGAGTTCTGAGAAAACTGTGACTGGGCCAAAGGTCAGGCTTCATGAAGGTCAGGCTTCACGTGGAGGAGGAGGAGGGAATCAAACCCGGTTCTCCCGATTAGAGTCTGCTGCTCTTAACCATTACGCAACGCTGGCTCTCGTCTTGCTAACATAAGAGACAGAACAGTTCTGATATCATATGTCTTGTATTACCTCTATATCATGTGTTGGCATTTTTGGTAAAGGTGAAGAAAGGTCTGACGGATCCTCCAAGAAATTAACTCCTTTCTTGTGTTCATAATTTATCTTTCCATTAGATTCATCAGGATAGATTTTCTTCAGGAACTGCTGAGCAGCCTGCAGTTTCTCAACCGGAACATGTGTTTTTGCCTATGGAAAAATGGGGAATCATATACTGAATTCAAAAGAAAGCAAAGAACATTTTAGGCTTTTGCATGATTATCAGCAAGAGGAGGCTCGAGGGCCAAGCTTGGGTGGTGGCAGACACCATGGGCTACCTACTCAGCTATCCACTCAACAGCTGAAACAAAATAGTTCATCTTCACTTTTAAAGCTGGCCAACCCTACTGGGAAACTAATCCTAATCCTAAATCCAGCAAGGTTAATAGGCTTAGAAGGGTGTAACTTTGCTTAAGATTGCAGCATGGGCTGCTCAGAGCTGGTGCGTAGTGCTACTTCTTGTTGTTAGAACTTCTTGGTTAATCTTAAAATTAAGATGATTCTACAGCTGGGGGGGTTATTATTTTACATATGAGATTAATAAAATTCAAATTTATAGAACCTAACATACACATCTCTTGTTTTATATGGCAGGGATAAATTATGCAAACACATTTTGCAATGAAGTCATTAAACGGACTGCAAATGCAGACAAAAAATAAGGAGCTCTCTCAAGGAACCTCCTTCCAATGAAAAGGACCCTTGAAGAGCCTCTTGCATTACCCTTCTGAACTCCACCCTTCACATCCCAAACCATAACGTGTTAAAGGGGTGGGGGAAACATCATTTTAAACTCCAATAATGAATTATGATTAATAGATTAGGATATGGTACATCCTCCCTCAGGCTAAGGCATTTAATGACCCCAGGACACCACCGCAAAATTTAAATAAGGAATCTCAGTGTTTGTAAAATCATTCCCTCGTTTTAATGAAACAAAAGAATTATCTGGGAAAGTTCTCATGAGCTAGCAGAAAATGGAATCATCTTGCAAAAGAACGCCAAGGATAAATTCTTGGCAGATAATTCTCAGACCTTTGAATCTTTACAAAGCACATCGAGAGCAATTACAAGCAGGTTTACTCAGAATCCTACTCAGTTCGATTCAGTGAGGCTTACTTCCAGGAAAGTATTCTTAGAATAGCACTGCAGGGGAACATAACAATAAACTCTCAAACAATGAAGAAAACATCTCCCACAAAGTAGTCAAAGATGAGGTAATTCTCACCTCACAATCAAATGACCAGGAAAGGTGTACACACACACACACACACACACACACACACACACACACACACAAAACAAGTTCTTCCCCTCTAATGTCTGCCCCTTCCCAAAAGCTGTCTGGCAGTCATCAGACTACTAGAGCACCACCCTTTTGTCCAGGACCAGACAGAGTCTGTCCTCTTTTCCCCCGTCTCTGGTGTTTGCCTTTGGTAATACAACTTTCCTTTCTCTCTCCCACACACACACACTTATTCTCACTTCCTCACCCCACCCCAATCCTGAGTTGCTATAAATACTGCTCTTTTCTCACACTATTTCCTCAGTGTCCAGATCCCTCTACCTCAGGAGCTCTATACGATGGTGGGTTCTACTAAAAACAACTAAAATACATTTGACACCTAAGTTAAGAAATACATATGTTTAGATAAGGTATAAGAACCTTTAAGACATAAAAAATGTTAAGAACTGTTTCTAGAATGATTTGATGTCTCCCTTTTATGGCCACCTGTTAATAAAATCAACTGTCTTTACTTATAAAGGTCTAGCTTAGTTTGTAAAAAAATATTGGACCAAGCCCACATTTGTGTATACACAGACTCAAAAGAAGTGGGGTGGGTTAGGTGCTGGAAACCTGTACTTTTCCTCTAGCACCCAAGGAAAACAGAGTTGCACTTACCTGTTACTGTTGTTCATTGGTGTCTTCTGTGCAGACATCCAAGCTCCAAAGAGGATGCCCCAACCTTGCTGGAGGTGGCGCGTGAGCGGGATTTCCCACCCAAGACACCCCTCCATCCTTCTTGTCAACCAGAAAAAAAAAACTGGAATAGAAACCCTGTGCCAATAAACCTCCAGGATTTTGACCAGTTGGGTACAGATCTTAGGGCAGGGACTGTCTACCACTGAGAAGGTTAAACAGCAGGGAGGAAGGGTGAGGCACTCTAATCTATAACCTTAAGAAACTATGGACATAACCCAACTGTGTGCACCTATAGCAGACCACCCGTCTGAAAACTGTGCCAACCTATTTTTAAAACTAGGATTAACAGGGGTCACTGGGACGGATAGTCAACATTTCGGCTGTTGTTGCCCTGGCTCCTTCTGTGAGGTCTGGTGCTTGGTGGATCTAGGCCATGCTATGCTCTTACTCTCAGGGAAAGGGAAGGAACTGGTAGGGGCTCTGAGTATATGTGTATGGTGCTGTCGCCTGTTGATGTCTCTGCCCCTCATAAAATGGAGTGGCAAACCTTGAAATGGAGTGAAGCACTGCCTTGAAGTGGTAGTGGGCAGAAAGACCCCCTGGGATCTGGCTGGCTGTTGATTTCTCTTCAGGGTTGAAAGGAACTCGTCAGCACCCTGGGAAAACAGAGTCGCCTCTTCAAAAGGAAGGTCCTCAACCTTACAACGTGTCTCCAAAGGGAGAGCCATGTTATGGAGCCAGGAGTGGCATCTGAGGACTACTGTAGAAGCCAGGGATCTGGCTGACACATCAGCAGCATGCCTGCCTGCATTTATTGCTTCACTGAAGAACCTCACTGCCTCTGAATGGATGATCTTGGCAAGAGGTTTAGACTAACCCAGAAGCATGTCTAAATACTGGGAGAGGCTCTCCCACAGGAAGAGCTGATATCCCCCCCCCTATCATCTGGTAGCTGGCAACTCGAAAATGGAGGGCAGCCAAGGAGTAGAGTTTACGTTCCAAGGCATCTAGCTGATGACTCTACCCATCTGTAGGGGATAAGTGTTGCCCCAGTCTCTGACGGGCCTGCATGGCCTCTGTCACCAAAGACTATGGGGGAGGTTGAGTAGTTAAAAACTCACATGAATCCTGCTTAACTTTATACAGGTTTCCGATTTTGTGAGGCATGGCTGGAACGGACGCTGGCTTGTGCCAGATCGGGGTTGTAAGAACCGAGAGTCCCTCTAAAATTGGGAATGCCACTGTTCCTGGGGAATCAAGATAGAGACAGCTTAGGATTCTGTCCTTTGGTTTATTATCTGATGCTGCAACATCAATTTTGAGGGCTTTGGCCATCCTAAGCATTTGCTCCCCATACAAATACAAATCCTCACTAGGCAAAATAGGGGTCGGGTCTCCCACGGTATTGCCTGGCGATGTGTTGGAGGTGGTCTCTGAACTGCAGCAAGAAGTTACTGACACTTCTTCGTCAGGTTCATGGAATGGAGAATGGAATGGAGTGAAGGAGGGATGGAATCCCATGAGTTGAGAGTCATCCTGATCCTGTCTGGTACTAAACGGATGAGGTTGATAGGATTCCCATCTCTTGAGAAAGGTAGATGACATGTATTACCAAGCCTATTGCCAAGCCAAAGGTGGGACCGGTTCCAGTCTTGAAAACTAGCCAGCCAGGACTCCCGAATGATCATCCTCCAAGGTGACAAGGGATCTTGGCGGGGAATCAACATGCAGTGCCAGAATGTGTGGAGGCACCAAGAAGATGTCTTCATCTGCAGTCTTTTTTGGGGTGGGTGATGTTCGCTATGCTTGGTCGTTGAGTCAGCCTTTTCTTTATGTTTTGGTTTTTTCATATTTCATTGTTGGAAGCTCTGAATGTGAGTGGGCAGGAGCTGACGCAGTCGGTGAAAAGGAATGAGGCCATCTGGGTTCAGAAGCTGGAACTAAGAGGTTCTCTTAGGAATGGCTGACATTTTCTTAGCTGTCAGAACCAATGAAACTGAACGGACTGAGGGTGGGCAAACCGAATTGGATGGATCTGAGCATGGGACCGATTTAGGCATGGACAAGTCTTTTCCCCAAAGTGTGGCCTTGAGTCGCGACGCTCTATCTGATCGGGTTTTAGGGATAAAGCGCTGGCAGATTTGCAGGCGCTGACATTGTGGGATTCCCCCAAGCAGAACAGGTAAAGCTTGTTTTCATCGTTACACATCATTTTTGTCCCACATTTGGAACATTTTTTAAAAAAACAATGCCTTGGTCACCATAATTTCAGCACTACAAGCAGTCTTCCAAAGAGAAAACAGTTCAGGGTAGGCCGGTTCGTTGAGAAGAGGCGAAACTGGAAACAACGCAAGCCGAGAGAGCACGCTAGAAGAGCTTCCTAATTTCACGGCAGTGAAAAAGGAACTGAGGGAAGGGGGCACCGGCCACCAGAACACATGACACCTGAGCGGGAAATCCTGCACGCATGCTGGCTCCAGTAAGGGTGTCCCCATTGGAGTGTTTAAGCTAGAAAAAAAAATGCTGTGGCCGGCCTGAGCAGATGCAGTCCCAATGTGGGGCTGCACTGAAGACAGAAGATGAACAGAGGTGACACATCTCCTTACGTTGAAGGAATGTGCCACTGTCTGCTGAACGGAACAATGAAAGCCCAAGGAGTTTAAAGCCCAAGGTGTTCAAAGGCTGAACAAATAGAAGGGCTTACTTATGTAGAATGCTAGTTTGTCTATGGGTAATCAAAAATTAGAAAATGCAGCACTCTACAGCCCCCAAGACACATATATCTTCAAACAGCTCCCCTCCAGAAGTGAGTATTGGTAATGCATTCCTTCAAGAAACAAATCTACCCATCAAAACTGCAAATATCGAATACAAAAATGGAGACTGCTCGATGTAGTTTACCTTTTTTCTTATTTAAATAATGCTCCCTGTTGCTTATACTTTAAGCAGATGAGGCACCTGTGCCACTGGCAATGTCTCTTCCCTACTTGGAAAGCAGTTCTCTTAACACGATGCTCCAGAATCAACAACTTTTGTAATACTCTATGTAAATTCACCGACCTTTAGCAAGAATTAGTGAATGCTCTTATGTTATAAAGAGGCAGTCTAACAGCTTTGCATTGCCTGTTGTGTGTTCAATGTTTGACTCTCTCAGCCGCTACCGCAATGTGCACACCTGCTCTCATCTTTAACTTACAGTGCCACCCTACGCAGAATTACACTCTTC